AACGAATTGCCTTTTGATCTTTTAGGTAGTGAGTATGGTTTTACGCCGCATTTAGCAATATTCGAGCAATATCACGGCGGAGGACACCAGAAATGGGCTTCACACATTGTACCCATGTCGGGAATCGAACCCGGGTTTTCGGCGAGACGAGCGAACTCTTTAACCACTGGGCTGCCCGACCGCCCCTAATCTTTTAGGAGAATCATTTTGTTATGCATAAGTTGGTACCTAATAAGATATTCTTTATGCAGAACTTTCCGTCCTAGGGTTGTGTGATCACCAAAGGTCTCTCTTACATATGCATATAACCTGTGTTGAGCTACATTTACACACTTTAAAGTAATGTTTGTTTTGGTATGATTATGTAAAACTGTTTTCTTTTCGCTCTGATCACCACCCCCTTAGAGAAAGTTTTCAAAGAGCGTCATACGACTCTTGCTCAAACATTGTTTGATCATGATTACATCATTCAAATAAAGCTTTTAAGTGTTTTGTGGTAGACATGTGGAGAACATTTCCAAATTTGACGCATCAGCGACCAAAATGAGTCCCTTTTATGAATTGAACCAAATGTCACCGTGGTATCATCACTATTGATAGTGATTCGCTTACTCATAATACAGTCAGAATCGTACAGTGGACTTAGATTTCTTATGAATATTAAGGGTTTTGTCGCTTTTATGAATAAAATGCCTATCGACTCTTCTTATTATGTTGAGTAGCCCACATTCCTATATTTCCTATTATGTTTAAACTTCATTCACAAGAATTTTTTCTTGTTTCATTAACTATATAACTATACAACCATAAAATCGTGTGTACCCAGTTTCAGTACTGCTTCTAAGGTTAATGTAAATGGGATATAACTAGGGGTTATTTTATTATTTGTAAATGTATGACAGGGTGGATGAGTATATAACCTTGTGTTCATAGCATTAGAGGCCAATTCTGGGGCTCCCGTCGTGATATTGGTGGAATATCGCTTCAACCATCATAAAACCATTCTCATTCAAAAGGCAAGCAGGTGTTTCAGCTTCGCAATTGAGCACGATTCCTGCAATAAAATTATATCGTCTTTTATAGGGACAGCCAACTTTCTGTAGGAACGTGTGTTGTTTTGTTATAGCGCCGTGCGCCAATATAATGTATGTCAAGTAACATGTTTCTTAAAAAAACACACGTTGAAGTTACCACCTGTTACCATAATGCCGACCAGTTGCTTCGAAGAGCTAAAAATGAAATTTGTAGGTGTAACAGACTGTAGAATTGATTCACGATTTAATATAAAGGTCTATAGGCAATTGACAAAATGCATTAGCAGTTTCAGAAAAAGAGTACTGAAAATAATTAAGCTTGCTTCAAATATGAAGATGCAAACGACTAAAACGTTCATTCAATATAAAAAAAAAACACACATAAAAATGTAAATTTTAAAGTTCTAAATGTTTGTGTCATTTCGGTTTTCCTCTAACGCACAGTGACATTGTGGAAAAATACTTTTCAAAGTGGCGTCAATCCCAGCTGATACTCTGTTGGAGCGTTGTGTGTTTTGGAAGTGTATTGTTGCTTGTTCGTTGTTCAACGCCACAATCAGCAGGTAACAGCTTGAAACAAACAAACTACATGTATATGGCTGATTGCACAAATAATCCCCTAACTGTTACCTTTATTAAAATGGTTTGGTAAAAAAGTTCTTGAAAGAGAAACAGAAAGAGCATGATTGATTCACATCTTTCAGTCCACATCCTGCAGTATGATTTGGCACATTCAATATCATAAATATTAGGGATATGGACATGTAATATGTCACAAATACATTACAGAAAATGCACAGAAAGTCCTATAATATGTCAGTAAATCTTTAAACATTTCAAAGATCAGTTCCTAAGCTTTGATAATATAGATGCAATTGAATAGCGGGAAAACATTTTCGTGATCATAATAATAATAAATCCACAAAACCATTTCCATAATCATTAGAAATCTCTGCTGAAAGTTCAGTCCATTTGAACGATTCTGACTATAGCATAATAACTCCTAACTAGTGAGGATACGGCAAAAATGTGGGAAATGCTTTGTCTCCACCGCAAGCTAACACGCTGAGATACTGTTTAAAGCGGCGTAAAACCAAACTCCTTAACTCTAATGATACTCAGTATGATTTCCTCTATCTAAAGTTATGGGAAAACATAAATAAATGACCCACAAATGTATTATGAAATACAGTCGACACTCATTAAGTGAGCCCAAAGTTTCTTTGACCGCCTTCGTAGTTCAGTGGATAGAGCGTCTGCCCGGAGAGCGGAAGTGGATGCAGGGCCTCACCATACCAAAAGATGTTAAAAAATGGTATTTGTTGTTGCCCTGCCGGTGCTCGGAATTAAGGGGCTATAAGAAGGACTGGTCGGCTCTGCGTCAGTATAATGTGCCTGAGCCCGGTATCCATGTGCAACTGCGGCACGGTATCTCAGTGGGCCAGCAGTTTATAAAACATGAAAAGGACCAAGGCACATACAATTTTAACACATCATTTCAAAATGAACATTTCAGATAGATCGTGCACATGAATATATACTTGTTTCGTTTACTTGACAGATTCACGCAGGTAAATATTTAAACACGTCATGAGAAAAGGCATCGCGTGTCCTTCTTTCCATCAGCACCCCAGGGAACAAGTATGTACGTGTCAATCACATAAGTGTTAAAAGGGACAGAAAATAATATAAATGATTTCATTGGTTTTATAAAAAAGGACAAGATCAGGTTTGTTGGCCTGGATACGTCCGAGGCTATATACGGGCTTCTTTCCAAAGAAATTTGTATCTATCATTTTCCATGACGCCCTCTACATATTCTGGGTCGTGCCATGGATGGACCTCTGTGTCAAAACCTCAAGCATTGCGAAGACGGTAATAAAAGGATCGAGCCACGCCATCATGTCGCTTAAGATACTGTGTTTGTGCCAAAGCTGGGCATCCACTGTCAATGTGTTGGACAGTCTCATTAAGTTCATAACATAATCTACATTTCATATTTACATTTTGATGCAAAATCATAAATTGACGGTTTCGAGTTGGAAGTGACTGGTCCTGAGCAGCAAACAGAAAGCCTTCTGTTTCACATTTCAGGCCAGGCGTCCTCATCCAAGCGAAGGAATCTGCAGGGTGTGCTGTCCTTCTCAACACGCTACAGCATAAGTGTTTGTGGCTTTAACTTTATTGCGAGCATTCGTCTCTGAACTCCAGATTTTCTTGAGTCTACATATGTACTCTGCCCGAGGTTTATCCTTAAGCTTGATATGGGCATCCTGGAGTTTGTCCTTAATCTGCATCCCTAAATACGTATAGGCCTGACCTTCCACGAGATGTCAATAACTCCTCCTCCAAGTAAACTGACTGATCCTCCCTCTTCTACCTTGCCATGTTTCAGATAAAGAATGTTGCATTTATCGAGTCCAAAGGACAAGCCGACACGGAGAATCTGTTTTGTAGTGTGGATCCTCATTTGGCAATAAGTGATAACCTTCCTAATAATGGCAATAAGTTATAACCTTCATAATAATGATAACCTTCCTCTTTGCCAAGCAAAAAGCTTAAAGCACTCAGTGACAAACAGAAAAGCAAAGGACTGAAAGAATCGCCCTGAAATATTCCTCTTCTAATAGAAATGGGTTCCGAAGTCACTACCTGCCCCTGCGAATACGTCTCAAAGTGAGTTAACCAGCAATTAATTAAAGACTTGAGTACAACAAGTAAACCCTCGGGGAGGTCAATACATTTCGGTGACTTCAAAATCCATTCGTGAGGTACAGAATCAGAAGATTTTCTGTAGTCTATCCAACACATTGAGAGGTTACGTTGGTAAGTTTTAGCCTCTTCTTCTGCTCCATGTAGATAATGTCAATCGAAGCGCAGTACGATGACACGAGATCTATAAGACACCCTGAAAATATTTTATTCAAACAAGTAATTGAGCCGACGTTTTTAAGGTCAGTCAGATCACCTTTCTTTGGGAGACGTATCGTTCGCCTTTTGCACAACCAAGGCGAAACATCCCCTGCACCCACAACAGTGAAGTAATGGCGTTTGGACACATGGGAACAGTTTCCAATGCCGGTTTCAGGCTCTGGTGCCGTATTGGATTTGGGCTTTATAATTATTATTTTTTCAGGCAATCAGGTGAAATGAAACACACCAATGGTGACCTTATTGTTTCGTGTACACTATCATTGTAATCCTCTACCCATGGTTCCTCGAGGTTACAGTAGCCGGGTAGAGACCACAACTGTTTCACAAACTTTTCACTGGAATCCATGGTGGGTCTTTTCTCATCACTGTCATTGTCTCTAAAATTGTTTTTCATTTGATTTGAACAATTTATTTTGTTTTATTAAATGATTTTTCTTATCCCACTTTGTTTTTCTTTCCGTCCAACCCTTTTACTTTGCCTTCAGAGAATCAAAAATTTGATTGAGAATTTCCTCCTTTGTTGTCTTGTGTTTTGTTTTTAATTTTTTTCCAAATTGATCCCTGGCGTTTTGACATATATTGTCCCGACGTACGCAGTTGTAAGCAAAGTACTATCCAGGACACATCTTACCTTGTTTCATTCAGTTTAATTTGAAACCGGGTTGTTTTTGTAATAAACCCGAGCAACGATCCATGCTGTCCGATAACAACACATAATTACTTTTGAGACCATAAAATACATTTAGCTGAAAGCCTGAAAAAAACGCCCCCCCCCCCCCCCCCCCCTTAGTCAGACGCCAGCAGATGGCCATGAAAATAACCAATAGCCTGGCGTACGTTGGTGTCAGATTTTATCACAAGTGTGTATCAACGAAAACGGAGAATGGGACAATGTTGCAACGTATTGTTAATAGCTTCTCTGACTACAACCATAGAGTGAACTATTTATTTTCTGCGCACAACGCTTAGCTCGACCCACTTAATTCGTGTATCCTTCTAAGTCATCGTGATTAGTTGTGATTCATTTATGGTGGCTGCAACCGCGAATATTTTACAGGCTGTCACGCCCCTACACACCCCTGTTATACTGGTCCACACAGCGCATAGTCAAGTAGGTCTGTGTCCAGCAGGAATGTCGTCTTAACTTTCCAATGTGTCAAAGCCTGTATGTGTTTTGTCCTCACGACTGGCTGAACACCGATTGATCGTGGCTGGCTAATATTCTCAACATGTGTTGAATGCGGTGTGTGCTCGCCTCGTATAGTAAGGCGACGACAATCAGATATCATTTCATAACCGCGGCCCCGGCTAGATTGTTAAAGGTGTGAATTTGCTCGAAAGCTGTTGCGGACGGACAAGCAATAGAATCGCTGTGTTAACGTCTACGCCAGTGGGTCACTGGAGTAGAACTCCGTGTGTGATCACCTAAACCCGAATACCGAACACTAACTTCACGGATAAAGGTATGTTTCTTAATTATCTATACGCAGCCTATGTCATTACTGTTTCACAGCGTGTGTATGGGTTACACGTATTGTTCATGTGAAATGTATTATGCACATAGCATGCTTCATATTTGTTGGTCTATGTCATGACATAACCAATGATATAATGACAGAGTTTGTTTGTTCGTTCGTTGTTTAGAAATATTCCAGCTATATGACGGCGGTCTGTAAATAATCGAGTCTGAACCAGACGATCCAGTGATCGATATCATGAGCATCGATCCACACAATTGGGGTACGATGACATGCATCAACCACGTCAGCGAGCCTGACCACAGGATCCCGTTAGTCGCCTCTTTCGACAAGTATAGTCGCCTTTTACAGAAAGCATGGGTTCCTGCAGGTCAATTCTAACCCGTATCTTCACGGGTTTAATGACACAGAATATACATACACCTGACGTATAAACAAAGGGACAGAACATTATATTACCATTCAGAATTCATAATAATAAATGTTCTGTGATGTTTATATATCCTGAATGGTCTGACAGTTTTATGTAGCCGATGACTGTCGTGGTGTGCATACTGGTATTAAATAGGGGTTTGCTTGACAACGTAGAACTAGGGCATTCACAAATCATTTAGGAAGAGGATCAGTCAGACCAGAGGATGGAGCCTGGAGATTTAATTCATTGTTAAAAATAAATCTGATGATCACAAATTAATGTTTAATCTGATCTTTAAACATTGAGTGAGTGTGATACAGGTTCTACATACAGGTTATTGTACCTTCTATTATATGTAGTTTTTCACAGAATATATACTGAACCGCAAAAGAAACGTCACTATGGATAGATATATGAGAAACCTTATGTGTCCAAACACTGTAAACATACTTTGAGACATATTAAAAAGATGAAACTTGGCAAAACTGATCATCAAGGTTAAAATTAAAGTGTCAAATGTTCTTAAAGTGAAACACAACACTAGTCTCTGAGAAAATGGCATCACAAGTCAGTATCTCGTGTGTCCGCCATGTGCATTGATGACTGCCGTGCAACGTCGATACATGGAATGGATGAGGCGATTGATGAAGGCCATAGGCACTTGAGCCCACATCCTGAGGAACGCCTGACGCAGTTCAGCTGCAGTTGTCGTCCTTGGTCGGACGTCATTCAGCCGTCTTTGAATCTCGTCTCTCAGGTGCTCAATGGGATTTAAATCGGGACTGAGGGCAGGCTACTGCATGGTTCTGATGCCATTCTGCTGGAGGAAGTCTCTTGTTGCTCTCGCAGTGTGGGCACGGGCGTTATCATGCTGAGCTCGTGGTTGCGGCCAAATGAGGTATGGCGTGTGGTCTAAAGACTTGATCAATGTACCGAGCTGCTGTGACACCATTGCCTCTCCCTGGACCGATGTTCTGGAAGACCACAGGGCCGACCCTTTGTGCAAGACCAATTCCACTCCACACCACGATGCTCGGACCACCCCACGAGTTTCTCTCAATAACACAAGCATCCGAATAACGTTCCCCACGGTTTCGCCAGACTCTCTCTCCCTCTCGCTCAGCCATCTGCTGTTGAGATATGGTTCTCGTCTGAGAAGAGGACTCTTCGCCACTGCTGGTGGCGCCAATTCTGGTGCTGTGTTGCCCACTGAAGACGGTACCGGCGATGACGTGGTGTCAGAATGGGTCCTCGGTGTGGCCTGTGACAGTCGAGGTATCCGCACTAATGTGTCGCTGGTGTCTCCCCATGGTCTGTCGAGCAGTTTCCGCAGCAGTTACAAAGCAATCTGACGATCCTTACGTCTGGTTGTGACACTTTGTCTTCCACCACGTGGTCGGTCATCTGTAGTGTTGGTGATCTGGTACCGTTGCTGGAGCCTGTATATGGTCCTAACGTGGACTTGCAATGCATTGGCTACTTGCAGTGCGGTTTGTCCAGCTTGCAATCGTCCAAGGGCTTGGTGTCGCTAATTTCTTGTCACTCTTGGCACGTGGTGGCAATTCAATAACGAATGAATGTTATCCTTACTTACTTACTTACTTACTTTGGAGATTTAACGTGCGCTTTCCGACTGATGCGTATTTCGCACACGGGCCCGGCCAGGCCATTTAATGTGTTTCCGAAAGGGGCGAAGGTGGTCTGTGCAACCCAAGAGGGGTGTTTTAGGGGTTGCTTATATAGAATTTGGGAATTTTGAGATTTGGAATAGATGCCGATGGGATTGGGGAGGAGAACTAAGGGAGCTGGGTATGGTGGATGTTTGTTTGTTTATGTGATTTTGATTTGGTAGGTTATTGTGTTTTTAGATGCGTTTTATTAGTTCCGTTTTTATTAAGAATACGCCTAAGGCCTTGAAGTTTTCTAGTTTATTTTGTGGGTTTAGTATTGCTTCTAGAGTTAGAGCCTTGTTTAGATTGAGGGTGGTTTGAATGTTATCCGATCAGGGTGGACTTCAGTATATTTCCCCCATGGTGAGAGAATGATCACATAATGTGTGATTGTGTACCACCCAATGCTGAAATGTCACAGCCCACATTCATTATTGAAATTTATACATTATCATACTTCAACATACGTACGATAGAGAAGCTAGGTTTGACAATATGCAGAAGGAAACGTTTCGTTGTTTTTAAATTGTTGATTAGAATGGGAGAATACATATACTGTATATGTTATGCACATCGTCCCCGAAAGACGTGGTTCGTTCATCGTTCTATCGACCACTGGTTTGTCAGGTCCAGACTCGATTATTTACAGGTCGTCGTGATATAACTGACATATTGCATAAAACAATAACGAAACAAACATACGGAGGAGGGAACATTTACAATTATCAATACAATATTTTTTAATGGTTGCTGCTTTACACCTATGACTTAAAGATAGCATCCATAATGCATTGGTGTTAGAAATATGTTTGTTGACTATGAGGAAATCTAAGCCTTAAGGGCACCGTAAGGTGCACACTCAAAAAAATATCGTTAGCTGAGCATGCTTAATTTCCTTTAAAAATTGTACTGTATGGGGGGTGGGAATAGGTTCCATTCAGGGACTTTTATACTTCAAATATCTGACCATGGTGACTGCAGTGAGTAGAATGGGGTTATATGCGTGGTGCATTGTACTCACATGAACAATCTCAAATAAACCCTAGCGAGTCTAATACAATTTGTTTTGTCAGCATGACGTCGGGGTTATTCTGATGCATCTGGAGCGTGAAATCGATGGGCATAACCGATGTCCTATTTACGTTTCATGCTCGAGAAATCCGCGAAGTATTGTGGTCATCACTTTCTCATTACATTTCGGGTTTTAAAGGAAATCACTCCCATTTAGTTTACTATAATATTCATAAGGCCCTCGTTATTCGAGTAGCTTCTGGGACATAATCCTACGAGATTGAATTGCACTACACTATGTTCATGGATTAGTTATATATCGTTTCCATCTTAAAGAGATGGTAAGAAGATACGGATAAGCTGGCTGGGCTCTTCTCCATATTCAAGCATATGTTATTACACGAAGCATCGAAACTGAAAATCCTTTGACAATTACAGTAAAATTACCACATTGAGATATATTTTATTGCACCATGTATTAAGGCAAAGCTAGTCTTTGTCTTGTGACTGAAGAGAAAAATAGGTGCATGAGTCATTAAAATAAGCCATCCTCGTGATCATTTGATTTATTTATATAACGACGTGGGAGCTTTTATGTGCTCATTGTAGAACACAAGAAGAGTTCAAATTCGTGTTTGACAATACCTAGACACCCAGTTGTTATGAGGTTTATATATTGACATAAACGGAGGGGCAACCAAAGTATACCGATTTGTTTTTTTTGTAACTGTAAATTGAAAGAACTGTTGTTAAATTTGATTATGTCTACTTAACCGTCCTTCATTCCCCGAGCACTGTGTAAAATGAAATCTGTGGCTGGATAATTTTGTGTAAAAATAAATTGGTTCAATGAAAACAGATGTAAGAAATGGATTTGACATCTACCATGTGTGAAATGTAAATTTGGGCTAAAAAACACATTTATTGATTTTCAAACATAATATGTCTAAGGTACCCATCAGCAAATTACGTTTTATGCGAAAACTAATTAAATAGTTTGAATCAAATCATTTATTCAAAAATAAAACGACGTATATGTATTTGAGTGCTTCCAAAGCGCCACAACATTTCATTTTTTTTTTATATAATATCGCTAAGTTATTTTCAATTGCAAATCAAACATATGATGAAATCACATGAGAAGTATCAATCAACTCTTTAAAGAAATGATGAATTTGAAATTTATCAATATGTACGGTTCGCGCCCTGAAATGTCATATTTTGTTTACCTACAAAAAGGATGAATGATAATGTTCTTATTTGTCATGTGATCTGACAGAAACACATGCACGTAAACAACCTAAAAAAATCCTCGATAACTCACAATAACTCAAATAACACGATAAATCAAATAACTCAATAATTCAACTAACTTGATAACTCACAATATCTCAAGCTCGTTTTCTATGGCAACTTAAGGTGTACTGTTGGTGTACCTCGAGAAATAAAAAACTCAAATAACTCAATAACTCAAATTACTCAGATAACTCAATAACTCGTTACCGTTTATTTCGGCTGAAGGTGGACATCATAGGATTTCTATTGAATTCAAATTTTTAAAGTAAAGTTGTTTAATTTCTTTTTCTCGTCAACACAAGTTATGGTGAAACGTCTAGTTTATTTTATTTACGATCATACATATGCAACAGCTGTGAGGAACTAATAATAAAGGTGTGGCTTTTCATCCCAATACACGTTCATACGGCCTCAAGTTAATCTGTCTCGACAAGTGGCTTGGTGTACGCAGATGGAGGTTGAAGTATAGAAAAATGCTCAATCTGTCAAGCCATGTAGGCAGTATGTCGTAATATTATAGTATATAAAAGATATAATATCACAGTGTGCCTTGGAATAGATAACATTTTGCACAATGTGCTTAATGATATTCA